TCAATCCCAGCACATGTGCTGATCATATATATCAAAAAAACTTAATATAAGCCGTTTTGAAAAAAAAATCATATTTCAACATCTATAATAATACACAAGATAAAAATGTTCGCCGGAAAAAATCCGCACCCCTACCGTCATAATCACCATGTATTTTATTCCATTTCCAATATTTTCACATAATCCTTTGGTCCATCGACACAGAAGATATATTTCTTCACGATGATGGTCAATTTTAAACTTCAACGGTAATATAAACAACGCAACAGCCGAAATAAACATCAAAATTATCGCCGTTTTCCTCCAACGACAATATCTTTCGATAAATTCAATGGACCAGACGGCAATGAACGAAGCTATCCGATTATGTGGCCCAGCTTTGCCGGGTGCAAAATGCGCAGCGCTTTTAAGTTTGGGAACCACATAATCGGATAGCTTCGTTCATTGCCGTCTGGTCCATTGAATTTATCGAAAGATATTGTCGTTGGAAGAAAACGGCGATAATTTTGATGTTTATTTCGACTGATGCGTTGTTTATATTACCGTTGAAGTTTAAAATTGACCATCATCGTGAAGAAATATATCTTCTGTGTCGATGGACCAAAGGATTATGTGAAAATATTGGAAATGGAATAAAATACATGGTGATTATGACGGTAGGGGTGCGGATTTTTTCCGGCGAACATTTTTATCTTGTGTATTATTATAGATGTTGAAATATGATTTTTTTTTCAAAACGGCTTATATTAAGTTTTTTTGATATATATGATCAGTACATGTGCTGGGATTGACAAATATGCATTTTATTTGGATTTTAAAGGCGTTTTGAGCTCCAAACCACAAGCGTCTGTGACAAATAGAAGCGTAATTTACTTTTACTTGAGATATGCAATTTTCAGGAGTCTGATGTCAATTTGGTTTTTGAAGACGCAGAATTTAAATGAGACACTAATTAGCTTGATATATGATTAAAGGTCAAACTTTGTTTCTAGTGTAAAAAAGTTGATTTCTGAAGGATCCCCCACCCCCAGACAATATTAAATAGCAGTAGGAAGAATTAATTTGACAAGACAATATTACGGTGTCTTTGGAGACTTTTCTCCACAAGAAACAGACAACTTCCCCACAAGTTACAGTCCAACTGACATTGAGAATCTTATAATCACTGAAGGTAAAAACAACTACTTTCTGTGCTTGCAAGAAATGATACAAGTTTAATCAAATAAATTTGCGATAAATGATACAGTGAATGGAAGTAAAATGTATTGAGCTTGCAATAAACCATTCACTTCGACTGTTATTGACTTGCAATAAATGATACAATGATTCAATTTACCCACTAAGATACTGGCGAGTATTTAGTATGCAATTAACTTCTAACATACACAAGTTTATTGCCACACTGTACTTTTTTTGATACGCACTGAACATACCTCATTAAAACCCACAAAAAGGAGCACCCTTGGATTTAAACATGAACATGAATGCAATATTTTTATACTCCTAGAAGTCTGGTTATTGTGCTGCCCGGGTGGGTTTAGACATTAATCTTAAATCATACATTATTATGTTATAATGTATTGCCTGCAGCATGATGTAAATATTCATTATATTTACAAAATGCTTTAAAGATAAAGAAAAATCAGCAAAACTGTTTTAAAACCATTAAAAGTTTTTTGTTGTTTTCCTTTATTTAAAACTGAAGAAATCTGGGGGTATATTTAAAATTCTTGAACAAATGCCAATTTCTATTGATTAGGTTTTATACAAAAGGATTAATTTTAAAACAGGCTTTTTGCTAATATGTAAATAGGGCTTGTTTTCTCTTATTTATCAAAAAAAAACTTTGTTAGAGCAATTTTTATAGCTTTATCTATCAGTATGAATAATTCAAATGTAAATTTGAATAAATTAGTATTTTTGTCATAAGTTAAAGCACATTTCAATTGAGCAATTGAAGAAAAAGAAAGAAAAATTACAGCAATTCAAGTAATCTATACACGATATTAGAATAGTACAGACACAAAACATGTTTTGTTTGTCAAAATGTATTTCTGCCAATTAAAGTTAAAAGAAGATAATGAAATTTCTTCAAATTATCAAAGCAAATAGCATATTCACTCATCTACAAGGTTGGTTTTCAGTTTTTAATTCTAACATCCTGTAACTAACACCCTGTGCTATAAGTGTAGCACAAAAGTCCACTTAAAGCAATTCAAACCATCACACATATATATGAGATAGGATAATTTATCATTTCCATGTTACAGTATTTTCATACCTTCATAAATTTTCATTACAAAAATGATAAAAAGTACCATGAAAACACTGTATTTTTTTTTAAATTTCATCCTCAGAAGTATCTGTATAACACACTCCATTATATGGTGTTTTTTAATGATTCTTTTTAGATCTGTGCAAACCTTATATTGAAGCAAACTTAATTGTAAAATTTTGACCCTGTCTTATGAAGCAGACAGTCTAATAGCTGAGTAAATACTCTGAAACTTAAAAAATAATATTTGGCTCTCCAAGTACTTGAGTGTGGGAGTGGAATATTATTAGACAGACAGGAACAGTGCATAAAACTGATTGTCTAATGAAATATAGGCTGAAAAACAAAAATAACAGGTGCTGGAATAGAGATGAATGAACTTTGTTTATATACCGGTATCTACCTAAAACAACACACAACAATAGTGGCTTCAAGTAATCAAGACAGCTGCTGCTGTTTCTGTAATTTTTTAATAAATAAAATAAATGTACTTGTATTTTTTTTAATTTGCATGGTTTATTATATTAGTACCATAACAGAATATACCATCTACATACTCTTTTGTTAATGTAACCTGGTTAAATTTTTTCCAGATTTTACTTAGACTTGGTCATATTGTGTATGTAACCTGGTTATTTTTTTTTTTGTAACCTTGCCCAGAATAATCAGTATGTCAGCCATTAGACTTGGTCATTACTTAACCTTTATTGCAATTGCCTTTGACATTTATATGTACATCCTTAACCATTGTACATATTCATTACCTTCATTTAAGAAAGCTAGATTTCCCAGGAGGCCCTGAGAGACATTTTCTATTACAAATGTATAGCAATTTAGCGAACCAAACTGTCAAATTTCTACAACCAATTTCTTAATCATTTATTACTGTATCAAAGATCAAAATCAAATGCAGTATTCGTTATTTAACATGAGGAAAATTTTAAAATGTCGAGGAAAAAAACCTTAAAAACCCTGTATTTTTATGTAGAAAAAGATAACTCAAGAAAATATATGAGAACTTTTATTTATTTATTAAGACATTGATCATAAAGATTTTCATATCATTATTTGCTTATTTAATATTAAATCTTATCAAATATGAAATTTTTCTCTTCAGTTATTCCAAATTTACCAGATTATTTGTTACTTTATTTTGCGCATAAAATGAGTATTCAAGTCTACATTTTAATTAAATTTCTGAAAAATTCTTCTGTTATGAAAATCAACATGCAAAAATAAGAACATATTCTACCGGAATTTCTGTATGAAATATAAGCAAAAGTCAATATCTTACTATGACAAGATACTTTGTATTAAATGTATTGATTTATTCAACCCCTAGTAGTAGCCAAGATTTTTTAACATATTAGACAGACATTTCATTAAAATATCAAATTACTTTTTTTTATGCTGGAGAAAAAGAGATACATTATGATAAAAACAGAACTGGTAGAATCTGGATTGATGCAGCTGAGAAAATTGTTCCAGTTTATATCCAAGAGTTGAATATTTTGAATTGTTACAGAATGTATTAGACTGTAATAGTTTGCTCAGATTGCAGACATCGAGGCCCTGTGACCAAGCTAAATATGCCAGCCCGCATAGCTCAATTGTTAGGGTATGAGACTTATAACCACGAAATTATCGGATCGATTCCCAGGCTGGCCATCTAAAATTACTAAAACACTCTTTCGAACGAGGCTTTAAATCAAGGTCCGTAGTAATGACAGCTTAAACACTTGTCAGGCTAAAGAACCAGGAGAAGCTTCTGGAATTGGTGCATCTTTTTGTATCTGTATCTTGCACTATCCTCCAAAATCTAAAATGACTAATACTCTTCTGGAGGACTTGCCCATATGGGCATCCAGCGGCAAGTGTCAATAAACTAAAGTTCACACAATGGCTAAATTTTGCAAGCAATTAAAAGCCATTCTAACAGCAAGGTGAAGCATTCTAATAAAAAAAATTTTATTAATAGGTTACTTGCTTTTTTCTCACTAAATATTATAAAACTAATTTTCTATTAGGTTCTTATTATCTCAAATATAAATGTTAGTAAATGTATTTTATTCTTGATTCTCTTAATACTTTTGTTATATCTTGAATTAAAAATTTAACCATTACCAATAATAATTATAATTGTTTTTTTTTTCCATTTTCTAAACTTTGATATCAATTAAATCATATATAAATGTTAAAATTAAGATATTTACATTCTTAGCCTGATTGTATTTAAATAAACTATTCCAAAATTTTAGCTTTCAGAGTAGTTTTACATAAAATCAAAAACTGAAATGTTTCCCTTCAAGTAAATGTATGTAAGTGTAAACAATTGTTTTGACATTGTTTCTGTTGCACTTTTTTTTTACTTCACAGTCTTTATAACAAATGTCTTTGAAATATAGCATATTACGTATTATTTAGTATTATACTTAAAAATTCCTTTTGACAATTAAACTTAAAAATAATCAAAGATCTTGCATAGCATATTAATTGAATACTTCTCTTAAGTTTCTTAATAAATAAAAAAATCATTAATTCATGATTATATATTTGAATAAATAAAAAAAATCTAATATTTTGAGAAGAAAAACTCTTAATAAAATATAAAAAAATAAGAAGAAAATTTTTATAACTTTACTTTTTACTCAGAGTTAATATTTAACTAAAATATTTTATGAAAGTCATAAAGAAAAATGTAGATCGAAATATGTCAGTAACATACCTATCATTGTTCCTACAATCAGAGCCACACCTGAAAGTAGTCCCACCCGTTTCTTCATCTGCATCAACTCTAAGTCCACTTTCGGCTCGTCCGAACTACTGGAACTGCTCGACATCGATGATGACTTCTCAGAAACTTGCCGACACAGCAATAACTGGTCCCCTTTTTCACCATTGGGTACCTTCTCATAGCCAAATTTCGTAAGATCCAGGAGTTCAATATTTTTGATGCCATTACGAACGGGCTCCTCTTCGACCAACACACTGTCATTCATAACTACAATGTTCATATGAACCATAATTATATAAAAGTCCCGACAATATTTATTCACTAAATTAAATCAATACTTTCTCAATAATGATATCAGTAAGGTCTTCCTTAATTCTCTTTGTCACTTAAATAGTCAAATGATGTTTTTACATGAAATAAGGCACCATTACTATTCCGAGACTTTATCACAACTGATTTAATATCGCTTCTAGTTCTAGTAACTCGTCACCTGTATAAATAATTGTTCCAGGCAAAAAAAAAATTGAGAATCTATTCATCACAATCCTCTAAATAAGCGTTTAGATTTTTATCAGGTACTAACAGTCGCGCCATCAAACAATCAAATAACCATCAACGGAAATATGTCACATGACTTTTACATATTGATCGATGTTTTTCCCTACAAACTTAATTCTGCCGAGATGTTTTTCTGATATCAAATCCAAGGCAACAAGCTTGTGGGCGCCCTGGGATCTCAAATTTCTCATATTTTTAAAATGTTTTATAAATATCATCACTTAACAAACATCACTTTGTTGGGGGGGGGGGGGGGGGGGGATTTTTTCCAGTGTTTTAATCACACTTTTCTGGAACGAACTTTATATATGGTAAATGGACATTATTGATATTAACTTTAAGCAAACAGTAAAGGAAACTTGCTGACATAATGTAAGTGCTCATTTCAACATGCTCTTAAATCAAAAACTATAATGAAAATGTTTTTTTCCTTTCCCTATACTGTAGGCAGACTAACTTTTAAATCTCAGCTTGAAATCCCTGAATTGATAATGGACAGTTCCAAAAATAGTAGCTGGACAAGTCCATTTATGAAATTCAGCAGGTGAAGGGTTAACAACAAGTTATTACAGTAAACCATTAAATGGAAAAAAAGAGAAGAAAATGGATAATAGCTTTAAGACAATCACTTTTTATTGGTACTGAAAGTAATGGAAGGAAGAAAATTACTGTTATTATCTTTGACACATATAATAAGTGATGTCTCAACGCCAGGCAATATAATAGGACTCCCATTACTCAAAACAGTGCCTATATTATCTTGAACCCTTTCAGAATGCCAGAAAATTTCATAGATAAAGTTTATTGATCAATTCTCATAAAATGTTTAGCTTATAAAAGAAGTACCTGGGAACAATGTTCGGGAAAAGTTACAGAAAATAAGACAGAAGAATTCACTGATCTAGAGAATCTAATTTTATGAAACAATTTTAATGCAGGTGATATATGAGGGAACCAGCTGCACAAAATCACCTGTCTTCTCCTAAATGTGTGCAGTTCTAACTAAAGTACATTGCAATAATGTATTATTTAGATGAGGGTTAAAGAGAACCAAGATGGCTTATGCGAAGTTAAAGATTACAACAGGTCTTAAAGGAGAAAAACATAAAATAATATCTAGTGAAGAATATTTGATATTTGATTTTTTTGGATTTCAAGTCACATTACAACAACACTATAAAGGCTATATGCAATTTTACTGACAGAGGAATACCTCAGGAGTACCTTCATACATTATTCTAGGCACAAGTGGACACCCAAGTAGAACCCACATTTGTAGAACCACCAATCTTCCTTAATTCAGCTAGCTTGATCTCTTCCTCAGAAGAAAATATTCAAAGTCCCCCACAGGATATGAACCCACAGCGGTGAGTGACAAATGATTTGAAGTTGGCAACCATAAACATTCGGCCACAAATAAGCCATAGAATTTCAAGGCCCGATAATATCTGATGAAAGAAAATTAGACCATGATACAACCTCTCATATCGCAATATATTATTCCAATATACTGATTAACCCAGTTGTAACTTCATTAGAATATTAAGCAAATGACCATCATTAATTGTTAAACTACAATAATGAGGTGGTATTCCATTACAAAAGTCTAAATATACATTCTATCAAAACATCAATCAATATTCTACCGAATAACACTTAATTTCCATAACAGATTTTTTATGTTGTCAGGATAATAACACCTAAATATCTGGAAAACCTATCAGTCAACAGGATAGATTTTCATCATATGTTACCACATTAATATGACAAATGTCTACCATGTTCAGAACTAGCACTCATTAGCTGATATCATTCACAGTGTCTGATTTTCCAGAATCAAATTGATAATTATCTAAATTTACCCTGAGATCCTTACATACCAACTCATCTTTAATAAAGGAACCAAATGAACCATCACTCCCCAGTACATTATGTTGGTAATTTAGACATGACCAATTTTTGTAAAGTAGTATCAAATCAAACCGGGTGAAAATAAATGAATTCATTTTTTTTCCAGCAAACTTGATGAACGAACTTTAAAGGATGCATCTGGTTCGGTCTGATAATCCATCCATTAAATTGTTAAAAAAAATACATTTTCTATTTAATGATCAGGTGACACCTCAAAGGTGCAAATTGAAGTAACAGGGCCACAAGAATACTATACGTGGAAGTGACCAGTATTTTGAGAGACAATCATTGTGCATGGTTGTTGGAGTATGCACTTTCCAAAGACAACAACTCATAATCCTAGACCTTTGGTAGAACCGCCTCCGTGGTCGAGGGGTTAGAGTCGATGACTTCTAATCCAGTTACCTCTCTGGCGTGGGTTCGATCCCCGGGAGATGCTTTGGTAGTTTAGCGCGGAGGAAGGTAGTCTAGTACTGGTGTAATTCTCCAGGAACGATGGTTAGGAAACTACCCGCCTATATGACTGAAATACTGTTGAAAAAGGCGTAAAATGAAACAAACAAACAAACAAATAAACCTTTGGTTTTGGTAAGCTAATAATGGGCACAAAATGGATGCTAAAACACAATCTGCACAAAATCGTCATGCTATTTCTGGATTGCAAAAACTATACAATTTCATGTTGATGATGACAGTGAATGATTTCAAGGTGTTTCCCACAATGTTGTAATATTTAATTCCACATGCCAAACTGAATTTCCCCATTACATTTATAGAAATATATTGTGGGCAGTATTTACAAAGGATTAAAGCAACAAAAATGTTTCTAGTTACAAACCAGCCATCTCCATCTAAATAAATATTAGCTTCTGAATTAGGAACCAAGTCAATAAATCGAAAAACAAGAAAATATCATGTTCAATTTCCCAGTCCCTCAATTACAAGATCTAGTTTATATTCAAGACAGGTTACCTAATACAAACGACAAGAATTGTAAACAATTGTCATGGCAGCTGGCATATACTCTGTAAACAAAATGGAAACATTTATTCTTCCCTGACATTTGAATAATTCTTGGAAGAAATTTGACAACTGATTGATCGCTAAGGGAGTGCCATCGATTCTCAGAAAGCTAGTTTGATTGAGGAGAAATATCATGCTATAAGAAGAAACAGTAGTGTCTACAGTTGTATAATTATGTAGCAAAAACATATAAAACAAATATTTTCAGCAAAGTCTTTTTTTTCAAACAAATTTTGACAGTATTCAGAAACAAATATTAAGAAGAGAAGACCTGAGCGTCTTCTAGCTGCAACCGAATATACCCATGCGACCAGTGCAGACTAAAGTAAGCCCAAAAGTCTGTGCCGTCTAATTATGGTCTGCACTGTAAAATTTTCCTTAAAATGAAGAATGGTTTTAACCAAATTGAAAGATGGACAATATTCCATTTTAGATATTTAGGACAGGGATAACATGCACAAAAAATATGGGTAAAAAAAGGTCAAGTCTATTTTAAAGTTGAATGCTGGACAGATAAATTATATTATATATGCCAAATCTATGTCTTACCACTTCAATGGCAAAGGATCCTAAAAAGCCACATAAAACTGCATGAAACATATTTTTGCAGAAAGTACACCAAAGAGAAGGATAGAGACAGGAAACATTCTGCAGACACCCAAAAAAAAGACCCCACTGAGCTGTAATGTCTCATAAAATGGCATCTATTTATCTACTTTACCAAACATAAAATCAAAATCAATAAAGTCATTTATTTCCAACAAGAAAAAGAGACAAAAATCACAATTTTACAGGTAAAGATAACTAGATAATTACAAAACAGAATTTCAAAATAATTAATATAATAAAGTCTGTAAGTACTTTGTTGTAATACATGAAATTACATTTCTGCTTCCTGGAATATTTGTGATAATAACTTTTAAGAGGCAATACATAAATCTTGCAGTAAGCTTCTACCTATCTACCCCCCCCCCCCCCCCCTGCCATCTCTCAGGTAGATAATTATGTCAGTCAACTCAACAATATATCTGTGCAACAGAAATTTTTAATGAGAATGCTTATTTCTAGAGGTAATAACTGTATTTTGGTTGCCAGATAAGTACAGAGGACGGTGCAAAAAATCAAACATTTCTTGTGATCATTGGAATCTTTCTCAACTATCCGTTTTTTGCCGCAAGACTTCCTAAAATTCACATGATTTTAATCTGCAAGAATTTTTTTCGGTGCCACACTTTCTGAAATCTTTGTTTACTGTCATAAAGACTTCATTTAAAATCGTGAGGAGATAAGCTAGGTTATGTAATTATCTTGCTTTTATCGTTAATTTTTACTTTTTACGCCAATTTTGCACTTTTAGTCTACCATTCTTAAACCATCCGCGATGAATATATTAAAATACAGATGAAACAATTGTTTCATATTGTTCATTTGCTATAAACAGTTCCAGTAATCTTAAACAGAAAACATACAAGCTTTGACAACAAAAGAGTTCTAAAGCTTCATAGATCTTAACTGCTTTCGCAGGTCTGGAAAGAATGTTAGAACCACAAGGGGAAATTTACAGGTATTTCTGATGTTGTTTTGCTATTCTATGAAATTTTCCATTCATACCTGTGTAGTAAAAAGAATACAAGAATATTAGAATTGCTTTCATTAAAAATAGTTTTATGGCTTTATGGGGCTCTAACCTTAAATGTTTTGGGAAAAAACATGGTACTGTGCAAAAAAAACATAGTACTGTTGTAAAACGGTAAGACAAAAAAAACTGCATTATC